TATTGGCAATGTTTGGTTTGGCTCATGTTGAATCTGCTTGTAAGAAATAATAATTACTCATTATTTAATTTTTTTTAACAATTTTTGATAATTCTTCTAACTATGTGTTATTATTGTTATTAGCAACTGGAATAGTACGTGGATTAAAACATGCTCATTTTTATTTTGGTGCAATATTGATGGCATGTGCATGGTAATGATATTAATTATAAAAAATCTTTTTACAGTATAAAAATTTGTTAATTAAACTAATTCTGTTTAATGCTTATTTATAAAATTAAAAATAGGATTAATGTATACCTTGGAATGATTCAATATGGTGTAAATTATAATGTTAACACAAATATTGTGACTTATTTATATTTGACTTGGTTTGGTAATTATTTCTATTCAACGTTCAAATGATAATATATATGCGTGTTTTTGATATCATTATATATATATATATATATATACAATTTCTTTCTTTCTTTCTTCTTTTATAGTTTTGTTGTCCTTGATCTTTTTGGCAAGTGAATTTTATTACAAGATTAAGAATTTACAATTCTTATGGCCGAATCGAGAAATGAATGATACAAATCTGCGAATTCATAGAAGAATTCCTGAAAAAGTTTATGAATTGCTTCCTGCTTATACATGGAGCGTATGTATGATAGTATATTTATTGTCGCATAAAATGCCAATGCTGAGATCGGCTAATGCTAAGATTTGATGCCTCCGTTAACATCTAAATCTATTGAAACCCATATGTACTCTTTTGTTAATGACTATAACCTAAATCATAACCCAACTCTTAAAAAAGAGATCAAAAAAAATATAGCTCAAAAATTTTAAAATTTCTCGCTTAAATAGATTCAATTCTAACTGCTAGTAAATCTCAGCATTAATGCTAATTGAAAGTGTCAATTTTTAATATTTTTTAATATCTTTAATCTTTTTTTTTCTAGGAATTTAATGAAAGAGTTTTATCTGGTGCATGCCTCGTTGTCGCTGAAGGATTAGTATTTGATATTCACAGCTGGATTAAAATTCATCCTGGTGGTCAAAAAATTTTACGCAGAGTGGTAAATACCAATATTTCTTTCTTTTTTTCTACTTTGATTTTTATTTATTATTAATTTGAACATTGAATAAAACCTTTTAAAGATTGGAACAGATATTACCAATGACTTCTTTTTTGATCCAAATGTTCAAACAGTTATCTCCAAAAATTTTGATAAAGAACACGAGTTATTATTATCCAACGATTTTAATGATGGCCCCTTAAACTATTCAAACATTCAATTTAAAGATAAGAAACCAAACTCTCGTGCTCCAAAGTCTGTTGCAAGAACAATTGATTTACTTAATAGTGTTACGTTTAAAAATACTCGTGTCGCAATGCATAGACATTCTAAATTTGCAACTGCTAAATTGGCATCTATGGTTGTTGGTAAGAAGAAATTTATTTTTGTTTATTATAGGATAAATCGGTTTGTTTTTATAAATATAAATGAATTTAACTAATTCTTTTTTAATATACGTGATAGCACGTATTTCGGATTATGATGATGAAAATGTTTCAAGACCAGTTGTTGATGGAATATTACCATATTCAGTACTTAACGCATCAAAAATTTCACCTGAAATATTTAGAAGATATATTCTTACAAATATTGAAGATGTTACTAGATATGATGCTGAAAATCCAGTAAAGAAATTGACTTTTCAAGTCATTCATCCATATGAAAAATTACCTGAAATTTTACCTGGTGATTACATTGAAATCATGAGCTATACAAATAAAGCTACTGTTGTCAGGCCTTATACGCTACTTAAAGGTCCTTCTGATAATACCTTTTCGATCATTGTTAAAATATATAAAGATGGTGTTATGTCTCAACATTTGGTAAGAAAGATTACCTTTATTGATATTTTCATAAATCATTTTATCAAAATTATAATAAATATTTATATAAATATTTTATATAGGGTAAACAACTCAAAAACTTTGAGATTGCAGTCAGAGGTCCATTTGAAATAACAGAACGAATTGAACAATCAATATCATCCAATATTTCTGATGCAGGTTTACGACGTAGACTACGTGCAAGTCTTTTAAGCACATCTGTTCGTAAGCTTTCATATGCAAAATCAAATGCGGCATTTAGTGGGTATGGAAGTGTTTCTAGTGAGGATAATGATCCACCTCCACCTAGAATTTTATTAAATCATGCTAGAGAAGATAAATGTTGGGATTACCTTTTCCTCGTTTGCGGTGGTACAGGTACATTATAATCAAAATTATTGTTATTATTACTAATTATTATTACAAATTATTAATTACAAATTATTATTCTAAAAATTATTAATTTAAACAGGAATAACGCCTGCACTTCAATTGGTGAGCCTTTAATTACTTATTATTTTTAATTGTTTACTATTCTTTTTTAAATTAATTTAAATTACTAAAATATTATTCTATACCATACTAGATTCAATATCATTTAGATCACCGAGATTCGAAATTTCATATTTATTTACTCACAGCCA